CCCCTACCCACCTCCCACCCCTCCGCATAGTAACTAAATCGACATGCAGTGAATAAACACGAGAGGGGAAAAGAAATAGCAGCAGCAGCAGCAGCAGCAGCATTGAAAAGGTTAAAAATAGATAGGTGATGAAGAAGGCAAGTGATTTGTAGACTTTTGAGTGGGGAGGGAGAGAGAGAGAGGGAAGTGGAAGCACAAAGAGGAGAGGGAGAGAGAGAGAAGCCAACTGCCGTGCAAATAAAACCCATTTCTAGGGTCGTAGAAACTCACAAGAGGTCATGAAAAAAGGAGGAGGAAAAAGGGAGACAGAGATGCAAAAGAAAAACAAAGAAAGAAATTAAATAAGCGTTATGCTATCTGAAAGTTCTTCTGATAGGTTAAGGAACTTAGAATACCGATTTCGTATTTATTTATGAAAAGAATCATTGAAAATTTAAAAAAGAGGTATTGTTCTAAACCTCGTTAAGATTCTACTATAGACGATTGTCACAGTCTCTACTGATACGCAATACCAGCACAATGGTATGGCTAATCCTTTCTTGGATCCTTAATTACCTTCTATTTAAATAGTCTGTTTATTTAAGTTAAAAGCAACTTCACGTTGAAACTGTCTCCATTTGAGACCGCCAGGAAGGCTTCAATGAGGGGAGGGGGAGGAGGCGGGAATTAAGAAATGATAATACCAACCTGGGGTGCTCGACAGACTTACTCCACGTGGTGCACCCTGGCAACGTATACTCATATGGCAAAAACGTCAATAAGCGAACGGTTAACTTCAAACTGCATGTCATATTCCACCACTTCCACGCACTCACCAAACCTCACCTTTTCTCTACCTCTGTGTCCGTCTTACATTTTTGATTTACTCTTCTACCCCCCCCCCCCCAAACTCTACTCTTTGTGAATTTGATGCTCCTCTCCTTTGTGAAGCCCAAAGTCATCTAAAGGCATCATGATAACTATCATAAAGCCTGCCATTTGATAGAAATAATGCCTTCCTGGTCAAAAGAGATTCTGAAAAAAAAACAATAACTCAGCAATTAGAGGTAGACAGTTAAGAATTAAAGCGTGGTAAAGGTGAGGAGAGAATGGCAACAGAAAACGATAGGTAGAATTTGTCTCTCATTAAGAAATTGCTTTGCTCAATAGTCAGACAAAGGCCATAAAATGCAATGAAGCAAGTATTAGGGGAAAAAACTTCACTTTATTCTTCTCAACTAGGAAATAGGGATGCTTAGAGTTTCGAATCGGTTCAGCTTGCCAAAAAAAAACAAAATAAAATACTTTTAAACACAATGGTAGACGACTTCAATCTTCAGGATAGATCTACCTAAAAACACTGCCCGGGAATATCGTTAGAAAAAAATTGACCTATCTACTTGAATAAAGTTAGAAGGAATATCTAAAGTAATTAAATAGAATTCGTGGGTGATAAGAATTCCACAAATTATTATATAAAGTCTTAAAATCAATTGTCAGTTTCCTATACAGGGAGAAAATAAAGAATGAGGAGACCGAAATTTCTTCCTTATTAACAGGACGAAGGAAAAACATTTATACCTAGATGAATGAGGTTAAGGGGACGTTAAAAAGATAATCGCAGTAGAGGAAATAATGCCCTCAAGACTGAAATTCTCCAATTTATCCTTCTTGGAGTGTTATCAATCACTCAGTTTCAAACTAAATAAACACAACGAGTAGGATAAGGGTGAGGATCCAAACTCACGTTTTAAAACTACCTATTGACGCAACATTAAAAGGGCATTAGTGAAAAACGTTGCAGATACAATTTGAGCAATTTTTCATAGGCCAAAGAAGGGGTTGGCCTTCGAAGCAAGCTAAACCATGAATCAGGTTAAAGGGAGATAAATTTTGACTTTAAATAAAAAAATTTAGTGATATTTGGCACAAGATAGTGAAAAGCAGCCTCACCTGTCCGCCGAGTACATGATAGAGTATGGATGAGCGTCTTTCTCACCAGGACTGAGTAAATTCTTAGCATCACCTGAAACCCGAGTATTGATGAATTCAGAGTTCAATTCACGTGAATCTCGTTGTACAGTAGCACCAGCCGCATATCGCGAAGAGCGTACAAATTCTGCCTTGGAGTAGCCCTCATCAAAATCGGCGTCTGTATAGACCTTCCAGTATTCGAAGTCGGAGTCGGTGAGTTGGGGGAAACGCACAAGATAACGTGTCTGACCGTGAACACCTGGCTATAACGAAATAAAAAAAACACAAGAAGTACAGATTTTAAAAGTAAGTACGAAAAAACATATCTGCAATATTTGGTTGGGAAAAAAGAGAGGGCGTCTTTGAAGTAAATCAGACAGAGACCAATTCATTTTCACGGTTGCAATCTGGTAGGCGCAACATTTGGGGATGTCTAAACCCAGTTAGTAAAAAATTAGAAGACGGGAGATATGCATGATGTGCAAGTAAATAAGGAGAACTGTTTTGGGGTCAACATACAAGTGCCGATGGATAGCCAATCTGGAGTGAGATGAACCAGTGAATAATAAATCAATGACAAGATAAAGAATTCCTAGACAGATCGGGAGATTGCCGTTGAAGTAACAGCCATACTCATTTTGATGAAAAAAACGTTCTAAGAAACTCTTTGATTTGTGATTTGAGAAGTGTGGATGTTTGTTCTTGACTAATAGTGGTAAAGGTTAGTAAAGGTTAATCAAAGCACACGAGGTCATGTTAATAGAATGGTGGAAAACTATATATTGGCTGGAGGTCACGAACAACTGGTACATATAATCATTTACATTTTCCCCTCTAAAATTACAGCTAGCACACATTAGGAAACTACTGCGACAAATATAGAGATTCAAGAATGCAGCACTCCACGTTATTACCGAACAATTAAATCATTGACTTAAAAGATCTTAACCACAGCCAGTCAATCCCAGCTCAGATAAACGTATACCCCTTTAACAATAGTCATAAAGGCAATAGAATTGAACACTATTTTTCATAGTGGTTCAAAAATTGTTGAATTGTGGGAGACAACTGACATCGAATAACAAGTTCAACAAATGTCCAACTTCATTTGCTGTAGTATACTTACAAATTCACACTTCACAATCCGTCTTCTGGATTTGAGCATTAAATCAAGAAGGGTCGATTTCACCCCTCCACTTACTAAATGACCTTGTGTAGGACATTCTGCAGCTTGCAGTCTTAACTCGACCGAGATGAGATGTTCAAGTCAGCAGAGCTCCGTAAGCTGTGAACACTCAAAGTGAATTTTGATGATGATGATAATAATTATTATTATCAAACTTATTTTTAATTAGACTCAAATCTCTCCAAAAGTAGTAGACATAATGGTATAATAAGGCAGACGAATGCAGGTGTTAGTCTTTATAGCTAAGGGGTACTACTCAAACAATAAATAACCTTAAGGGCATATTTCAAATCTTGTTCAAAACAAACATTCTTCCGCTCCTATTACTGTTCCTAATCTCCACATTAATAATACCTGATAAGGTCTTTCATTACTTTCAATATTCACGCATCCTTCTTGATATAGTTTATTTAAACACACTTTGAAGAAAATGGTCTGATTTTGACAATTGTTTTTGAAAGCTAAATTAAAGGAAAGATGTCCTCTTAGTTTTATTTAACAGCCTTGATTTTTGGGATAAATTATTAAAATAAGCCCAAATTGCTCAAAAAATGAGGACGAATAGTTGCAAGGCAAATGTCACTCTCTTAGAAGCTTATTTTGTCTGACAGATTTTTAAGTTGCAGTTGTTCTTCTTCAAACATAGGTAATAGAAGTAGAACCTTTTCTGTAAGCAGACAAAACAATATCTCAATGATTTCTCTATTAATCAACTCAGAATAATGACATCGTATCGAGTATAGAAATTAGGCGGTAAGCTGTGTGTGTGTGGCATTTAAGTTAAGCCACGTAGGAGAGGGAGAAAGGGGGAGAAAGAAGTCATCGAGACAACTGTTTTGGCATCTCGACACTCCTTTAACAGCTTGGATTTGGTTCTGAAGGTCACATTAGCGGGAAATGTTCGTTTTAATTTGCTCCGAATTCTACAAACCAATGGCCTCGCAATTTATCCCAATTTTAAAACTAAGCAAGTATTATAAATAATTAAGGGGTGTGCGATAGACTTACCTCCACGTGATGCACCCTGGGCAACGCATACTCATGCGGCAAAAAAGTAAATAAACTGGCAGTTGACTTCTCACTTCAAACTACCATCACCCCACTGTATGTCATTGTCGACTTCTTCCACAGTGCTCACCTCACCTTTCTTCTATCTTTGCGTCTGTCTCTTTTACATCTTTAAAACACTCTTTTGTTCACCCTCCCCTCTCGAATCTTTTTCGATTTGATGTTCCTCCCCCTCTGTGAAGCCTGAAGTCAACTAAAGGGCTAATGATAACTATCATAAGGCCTGCCATTTGATATAAATAAATGAATAGTTAATTAAGATAAAGGAGTAAAACGTCTTTAGGAATCTTAAATTTTAAGGAAGATATTATTATGTCTAACTCAGACAATTATTAAAGTAGCCTTAACTGAGATAAATGCTAGTTGCAAATGTAACCACCCACATATTATAACAAGCCTTTAAAGTCCACTTAATTTAACAATAAGCTCTCGCAGACCCCACAGTGAAGTCAGTTTTTTTTTTTAAATTAAAGACTGATATAAGAATACAGAAATCAAAATGAAGCGTTTGGAATCCCAATTCAATCCAGTGCAAACCAAAAGTACGAATGAAGCAATCGCCTACGGAAAAAAATAAAGACGGTTGTGCTATTACCATTTTATTCCCGATTGGAGCGTCGAATAATCAGGCTAATCAATACAAAGAAAATGGGTGTAATTTTCGTAGTCTCAGAGAAATTTGTGACGCACGATTGACTATTGCTTGTCTTTAATTCAGCAAAGAACTAAGAGAGCACAATAACAATAGGGCTTGAAAATGGGTTTCGAAGGTAGGTTCACATAGAAGTGAGGCTAAGAAATCTTCCATTCCTCCCAAGCTATTTGACTCAACACCTACTTTAATGAAACTCGCCTACTTTCGAAAATGTTTAACCGAGAAGAGAGCTATTAGAGTGGGTGCATGTACTTTTGTGAAGTTATGACAATTTACAGTGAAGCTGAGAGGGAGAGTCTACCAGAACCGATAAATAATAAATAAATAAATAGTTCACTACATGACAGTAGCATGCCCAAATAGAACTTGGCCATGGGATATGATTTTCAGTGCAGTTGCTAACTTCTAGAGGCGGATTTAATACAGAGATAAGGGCAATGAGCGTGCTGACGCACTTGCTAAGAAGGGAACAACAATTTTGTAAGGCCTAGACCGACCGATGTCTTTCCACACAATGAAGACCTTAATCAGGAGAAAATTCAAGACCTCAAGGTGCAATGAATTTAAAGCTCGAACAAAGGAGAAACAGTGGACAGTAGCCAAGAATCGAAGCCATTGCTGAGTTTAGACTACGTACCGGACACGATTGCTTGGCGAAGCACCTTCACAGATTAGGAGTATACACTCAACCAACATGTCCTCTATATGACCTACAGGAGGAAAGTGAGAAAACCCACCCGATTCGGTGTCCAGCCCTAAAGACAACGACGGAAACCCAGAGATACTGGGAAGCCGGAAGTCAACTAATGAACTGCTATATATGTTCCTCCCCCTCCCTCCCCCCCCCCCCCCCTGTAAAAGCCGAAGTCAACTAAGGGACTAAGTTAAAACTGAACCAACTATGAGGTGGTAGAAGGCAGATAGTTGACTGTAAAAAGCAAACACGTTCGATTATAAATCAGCTAGGAGGTACATATGCCTTATATTTGGCAAAACATTTAAGTTCATCTCTCAAAATCTTATTCCCCTCTCCAAGCTAATTATATGAAAGATTGTGTGATATTGTCGTAGTGGTCAACGTATTAAGTGAAATGAACTATCAATAACATCAATGAATTCTGATCGCCAAGAGAGATGGTAGAACGCGGGTCACCTATAAGAGTGGCACCCGCTATTCAAATAATGATAAGAAATTCTTGAAAATGAAGCTGAACTCAATAGGCTAAGCAATCCACTTATAAAGTTCTCTATAGACCCAAATAATGGCTTCCAATGCAGCAGGTCAGATGAGCCAAAGGGAGGGGGTGAAGATATAAGCACTGATTGGAATAAACTCAAGGCAGAGCATCTTAGCAACGATACCAAGAGGAATGGGAAAGACATGATAATTTAAGTGGAATATGAATTTAATTCCTCGATTGGTAAATGACTGTAGCAAAACAAAGAGACGTACAGCGAGCAGAATAGATTCCCATTGAAGTGATTATTGCATCCCAATTAAGCAAGACAACAAAGCTTAAAGGTGTTAGAATACTGGGGGTGAAAAGCGTTCGGAAGGTTTTTGCGAGGTTAATTAATCTAGAGGTTTGTATCTCGATATCATTTGGAGCGAGGAGGGGGGGAGGTTGAATGTGGAAATAACGGGGATTTCATGCGGCTCAAAGATTGACACCATTTACAAGAATTTTCACTGTCGTTAAAAAAATCGCATTGAGTGATTGTAACGACAGTAATAAGACCGGAAGGCAGTTGCCTAGGTTGACTATGCATTCCGACGCCTCAAATGTAAATTCGGCCAAATTAATTGTTTAATTGCATGATTTTCTGTATAAATGATGCGAAAAGTAAAAACAAGAATTAAAAATTTGTCGTAAATGTACATCTTGAAGAGAAAACGAAACTAAAGTCAAACGTCTCCATGGAATTGTGCAACTAGATTTCCTTCGAGAAACGAGAGGGACAATAGAAGTAGCTATTGTTCATAATTCCTTATAGCTCCACCTACTCAGACTAAAAGAAGTAAAGAATGGAAGACTTATAGCTCAAATGACATCCTTTATCGATAAAATAAATGCACTCATGTGGGCTTGAGAAGGGAGAAAAATAATCGGTTAGCCAGTGACTCCAATTGGCGGCTTCTCAACGAGCGGTAATACACATATTTAAGAGTGAACGTGGGAAACTAATAATCGATAATCCACTGCATGAGACAATAAGACGTGGCGTCTCTCGAACATAACGAAAGTGGTCCTTACCGTTGTAAAGACCAAAATGGTTAAATCTCACCGTATTAATCGATAAGCTGCATAAATGAGAGTGCGATTAAGAAAAAGCGTAAAATAGTTTTTAATTAAGACAGATTAGCATACGAGGCAACATTGAACACAAGTCATTCAGATACAGTTGCTAGGTCATCTTCACCATCTAATTTCTTCATCAAACCTTTTAATGTCAAGTGATGTGACTGACCCCGAAAGACGGATGTAGAAACCCTAATCTTGGAATCAAATAATCCATGTTGAAATACACTTATTTTATACGCTTTAATTGTAGTTAACAAGGTTTCAGAAAACCACGTTTAAATTTCAAGAGATGATCAATGAGTCAAGTCAAGCATTGCTATCACTTCTCCTAAAGAGATTGGAAATTTTCAACTACAACGCACTTGCTTCCATTTCCATCTGCAGGGTCAGAGGTCGGTGCACGAATAGTGAGAGAAGCATGGTTAAGTCTGGCTAATAAGCGCATTGATAGAATTAGCTTTTCGCGGCAAAGAAGCATCCCGATGTTACCTCTCACGCGTGTTTGAATATACATACCTTTATGGCTTAATGCTATTTACAATTTATTAACTGACATTCATGAAACCCACGAAATAGACACACATAATCTCTAATTTTATAATTGTGATGGTGGTTTGAATTTGAAGGATTTTACAACGGATGGTCGGGAGTGTTTAAAACTTTCGAAATTATGGGTCATGCTAGTTAATACTAGAGTGTAAAGCAGATACGATCAATTGCCCGCTCCCAGGTCTCATGGTAGGCTACTTAAGCTCATCCCTACAACAACAGTTTATAAATGCCATCAATGAGCTCTGGTTGTGTTAAAATTACGTTAGTTAATACCGTTCTGCAATAACTTTAGCTTGGAAAGGGCATATCCAAGTAAAAAGCACGTCACACATTGCATCACCTCACACAACACAGTTCTGTAACTCTTTTATTGTCCATTTTCTTCCACTTCCAGATGAACGATAAGTGAAGTGTAAATGAAGTGAAAATCGACGTCAACTGTTAGTTTCTCACCATAAACTCCGAAGAACAGCTCAAACGGAATAGAAGTATTCAATTAACTCGCATCATGAAGGTTATAATGGCAAGGATGAAACAATGGCAAATAAAGTTATAAGTACATTTGTTTAATCAAGATCGAATTACCCTAAGTTTACTTTGTTTACACTTCTTGTTCAAATTGGATTGATAAAATGAGGAGATACATTTCGGATCCTTCGATAATGTTTACGAATAGGATGGAGTGTAACAAAGCCTAAGTAATTAATATGAGTGAAATGATGTACACATTGTCATTACTCTTCCGTATTGCTAATAACTACCTCAATATCGAACCACTTTGAATTTCCAAAAGAAGCGAAAAGGAGACACTACTTCCACAAGCGGAAAAGTGTGTTAGGAGAGCAAGAAAACGATTTTCTTGGAATAGGCATGAATAGGGAAAATGTACATATATATGCGCTCTAATAGGAACTGGTAGAAAGACAAACAACGGAAGAGTTTTTGACATCAAATTAACATAAATTCATCAACCATTAAAAGACACCATTGCAAAAGATATAATTAAGGAACACTAAAAAGACATTTGCATAAATGAAATCATGATTAGACTGAAGTAGAACAAGACAAAAACATTTTGAGGAGAAAAAAGTGAAGCGAACTGCCATTAAAGCGTGAAGGAATGCTAAACGACAAAAGAAAAAAAACATAAAATGAAACACATGAAGATGGAAATGATATTTTAACAGCAATAATGAAAATAACTTTCCCCTCAACAAAATCTTTTATTCTAATTTAAGGAAAGAATTTCCTCCAATAGGTCCCTGAATTGCTAACCTCGAATATTCATCCATCAAATTTAATGGAAGTCACGTAAAAATGAATGTCATTCTTTCATATACTCGAAATAAAGTTTAACATCCTGCTTAAGGGTCTTCTATCAAAGCTAAAGGTGAGGTCAGCTAATTAATAGCGTCGGCGCTATTACTCGAAAAAATCGAAGACAAGTTTTAGGACACAAGAAAACAGTGCTGAGGTAATCGGCAGATAGCTCAACGACATTGAGAGAATCGCACCCCACTCATGGCCAACAATCAAGATACAGGCTATCAGCACCTACCGGAACTGAATTTACATTCGTGGTGATCGGCTTGTGTGCACCCAGCCATCCATTAATATTCATTTTCATTCATACCTTCAACATGAACTGCGTTTACTTGTTGTTATTAAAGAATGAGGGGAGGAGGAAACAGCATTCTCGGACACAAATCACGTCCTCTGCCTTGAAATGCCAAAGTCAAGATGGGTCATCAGAACCCAAGCAGGCGCTGAAGAAAGTGGCCATAAATCGGAAGACCCGGCGTGAAGTAGAAACAAATTAAGGTTCAAAAGAAGAGGAATACTAATCACCTTAATGCAAATTTGTACAGTGGGCACCAGATTTTTTTAAAACAAAAATATATCTTGAACTAACAATCGGATGATTTCCCTACTGCTAATAATTACCTCAAGCAATGACAAAGATTTGACTCAAATTAGATTATTATTACATCTACAGACAACAAAAAATAATTCTGGATGCAATAACATACAAAGGAACAAAAATTTGAAATGCCACCAAGCAACAGGGGTGGGGAGGAGGAGAAGGAGGGGGGGGGGGCAATAGTGAATGAATAGTTGAATACCAAGCGCGTGTAAAAGTGAAAGGTAGGAAAATGTGCTGGCTGAAGAATTGCAAGAAAGCCTTCACGTGAAGTGAATAAATGGATCAATGAAAATGAAATTGGCCAACAAAGAAAGAGCAAAATGCGCAGATCTGGGAATAGAGAAAGGGAGAGAGAGAGAGACGACATCAAAAATGGTGCAGTTCAAAGAACACTCTTCCACTACAAATCTTAGGCAATTTAAGGATCATATTGATAGCAATTTCGCAGTGTACATAAAAAGAATTTGCATTTCAAATCGTTGTACATTTTGGCAAGCCCATTGATCACACTTACTAGCAAATTAAAAATCCCAGTCACACGCAACGCAAGTAAGTAGGTGGCAGTAAATCCTACAGCGTAAAGGGTCATTTATTCAGAGTACTAGGGAAGAACACACTCAATTCACGTTTCGAAACACAATTTCAAGCCACTTAATAGTTATCCAAAGGTTGACGCACAGGCGAACACTAACTACTCAGTGTCATGAGTAAAAAATAAGTACACTCAATTAAAGGTTGTATCAAGGGTGGGAATTAGACGACATCGCACGAATTAAGGTGTATTGAAGAAAGAGAGCTCAGCAATAGACAGCCTTGAAATTGGAATCAAGTAGACGAATTTCAACACGACACGCTTACTATTTCCGAAAAGGACTTTTTTAGGAACTCATTTTTGCTTTGTGGTTTGAGGCATTGTTGCTTCAGACAAGCAATACGAGAGTGAAGTTACTAATGTTATAAAATGAAAATTAAAAAAGGCCCACCATAACCATATAAAAAAAGATTAAAAGGGTGGAGTAATCACAACCAATCGCCCTGATAAACAACTTACAAAACGAACAAACCCAAAAGATAAAAACACAACTGTGATGTACATCGAAACCAGCATTGTGGCGTTTGAGACGTCTCATGAGGGTGGCAATCTCTTCACGCCAGGGCTTTAGACGTAGGTACCACCGAATTAACTCCTCAAGTCGATGAGCCTTATTGCGACCACCTGCACGATCCACTTCTGTAAATCCCCTTTCTCGTTGTTGGATGTAGAGGGGTGATGATGCTGATTGCGCATTGATCCGACTGGTACAAATTCTACCAGCTACAGTGAGTCGAAGCATTCTGAGGAGAGAAGAAAAGAAACTTGTAGTGATTATTGCTAAGGCTAAAGCAGATAGCAACTGTTCTCAAATCGGTTTGCAGCAATTTGAGAGTAATCAAATTATTTTACACAACAACAATCGAAATTCGGAAGAAGCTGTATGAAAACCAAGTGAGTTTGTACTGAGTCTTTCAACCACTGTGTACACAGTACAGTAAAGTACCTGAGTCACTGAGAGAAGGAAGAGACCAAAAATAGATAATCGATAACCAGCTGTGATTTGAGCACATTAAAGTGCAATTCATTGATTTTAAGGCTTAAGAATAGGATTAATCAAGCATTAACTATTGTTATGCCTTGGATCGTGTGGTAGGCAGGGAGAAAACACAAGAAAAGAAAAAAGCGCCCAAAAGCAACCAAATTAGTTCAAAGGAATAAACAATAATGATGGAATACACGAGCAAAGTATTTGATAAGTTCATTTTGTGCTTAATGTAATAACGAATAAATAAGGAATATGGCAAGCACAGGAATGTAACCGAAGTAGACCAGGTATTCTGCAATTAAAGAGATGGAAATGACAAAATGGTTCAGGCCAATAAGAAATCGATACAAGCACGTACACATCCGTACTTAAGAGTGATGTAGTAAATAAATAAAATGGAACAAGTAACTACCCTCATACAATGAAAAATAACAAGAATATTCATTTATGACATACATTTTGAAAAAACCTTACATCAGATATTTGTTTGTGTAAACAAAAAAATGTGATTTATTAAGATCAAACAAAATGAATAGACATAGAAACCACTGAGATATGATAGCGAATGCTAAATCAATTAACGATTAAGGCAGATGAACCATTGATTGGTAGAGTACAATCTTTAATACGAATATTAAGTGAGAACGGACGTTCAGCCCTTCGAAATATTTTGACTACTAGCAAAATAATTCTACAAATAATTGTTAAAAGATCATCGATGTGACAATTTAAGTGGCAGAGACAAAAAACCGCGATTCATTGAAGTTGTCGACCTCCGTGAATGTCCGGTAAAATTTTCGACGGCCTTCGCAATTGAAGAAACATTGACCATATCTCCTATGTCATTCGAATGAAAATGTTGAGCAAATTGGACGTCAATTTACCAGATAATTTAGAGCGGTGAATTGGAGTTATTGAAGAAACATTTTCAAAATCTTTAATTTCAAATGCCTACATTTTGGTATATCTTATGCAACGAGATTATCGGTGAATCTTGTTAAACAGGCCTTTTCAGCCCACTACTAACTACTCAAAATGTAAAAACTACAGGAGATAGTATCTGTAGTATTTTCGAATACAAATTATGCGTTTTGGGACTTGTAAACATAAATAAATTGCACATAAAACATATTCACCGAGGCAGCCAAGTTTTAAAGAATAAAAGAACTTAATGGAGCACGTGTCTCTAGTTCGAATACCTCGTAGATAGATTTTACCAGATTTAAATAATTTATCATTATAAAATAGCAGGCAAGAAATGAAGACCACCGAGATTCCGACCAAACACCGCAAACAAATACAAAGTAGAAAACAAATAAGCATAAACTAATCTCGCCCGAAACGCAACAGTGTCGCATTAATTAAAACTGGTCTAACGTGTGAAAAAAGGGAGGACATAAATTGACAAAACAAAACTGACGCAATTTTTTAAGCACAATTTATTTTAGACTGCGCTGTGGAATGGAAGAGCTGGTACTTTATGACTCGATTGGCCATTAAAGTATATTTATATACCCCCCCCCCTCCCCCAAATGCCCTGGAGCCATATAACCCATGAGCCAATTGAGATGAACAAATGCAACGAATTAGGTGTATGCAAATGTGAACACAAATGCATAATAAGGGGCGCCTAAAAAAGCGAATGAACTAAAAGGTATCAAGATATTGATCCTGAAGTCAGTTAAAATTATCTTTGGGACGGTTGGTTCAAATAAGGGGAGTAAACCAATTGCATTAAAATGATTATTCTCTAAGACAATGAAATTAGCTCTGCTATGAGAAGATTCACAACCCTCTAAATCAATGGACTTGTCAATAAGTTACCGAC